TCACATCTTATTCTAATAAAATTATAAAGTATATTATACTATAGTAATTATATTTGATAAAAACGGAAAATTTGCATAAAAAAACAACTTTGTAATTTTATAAAATGTTATAAAACAAAATTTACTTAATTATCTTGTTTGAATTTTCAATTTTGTTTATTATTATTCAACAACTTTTATTTACGTATATAGGAAATGTGAAATTGAAATTTTTTCGTTCAAGGACCCTTTAAATTATGCCTCCTATGGATATACTCGGCATGCTTCTATCCTGAGGATTTATTATAAAAACGAACCATTTACTTTCCTCACTATCACATCTACTTTTGATGATACAATTTTATCGATAGTGTCAGAAAATGTATATAATCTCGTAGTTCTCAAATTGAAAATAGATGTACTGGCGGTAGTGTACAGGCGATTTTAACAGAAAAAAAACCGGCATTGCCTCTCTCAAGTTTCTCTTTGTGGATATCCTGACCAGAGAGAAAGAAACCTGAGAGAGAACATAACTGCCCAAAACCGCAAAATACTGTCGCCCACTACTGCCCTCTGACAAAGTGGACGTAAACTACATACCAACGTCCACTTTGCTTAAAATATATCCACTTTTCAAGGTTAGAGATGATAAATCGATATTTGATTCATATAATCGTGCTACATGTAGTTTTACTACATGGTACTTATTACTCTTTAATATTATTATTAATATGAATATATATACATATATATTATCTTTATATAATTAGTTCGTTAATATTATATTATATAATTCTAATTTAAAAATATAATGTCGCTGTAAACAATTTTCATGACACCGAATTGTCTTTTTTTTTTTAGAAAAATTCTGTAGCTTTATAAAAATTCAAATTTATTAGCGCTAATCCAATCCGCAGCATGACGGCGAATCGTGTAACCTGAGACCCGCTACATCAAAGATGCCGACGCTCAATGTCCATACTGTACCGCTGTTCGCGGCAAGCATGAATACTATCCGGGATAATCGGCTCGATCGATACTGAACAGTATTCGGTCTCTACGTGACGAACAACCGAACGAACCTTCCTCCTCCTCTTCTTCTTCTTCTTCTTCTTTTTCTTCTTCTTTCAGCTGCAACTATGTACGACGCAATGCCCCCCCCCCCCCCGAGCAAACGGCTGGCTTAGATAAGACAGAGCAGTTGGGTTTTAATTTAGTATTATAGTTTTTTTCGAGAAGTAATAATTTTTGACAGAGAGAATCAAAGCCACCATTATTTGGATTGAAATAGAAAAAATAATTATTCTTCAATAAGAATATTTTTGAAGAATAATTAATTGCAGTACATAATATTATCTCTGTAAAAAGTTATCGATTATACTCCATTATACGTCGTGTACTATCATTATGCTTCAGGTTCTATAAATTTAACAATGTATATTTGGGTGTTATTTATAGATTCCATTATAATAAAGAATTTAATCAATCTAACAAAATAATATGGGGAACTTTAAAATAATATTTAAAATAATATTTAATAAATTAAAAATTCATAAAAATATATAAAGGAGAAGGTGATGTTATATGACCAGTGTTTACATATATTGTGGCCTATCTTAAGCTCCTTTTAGTTCCGCTATTGTACATATAACGAGTCCTAATGATTACTCATGGAATTATTTCAGAAGTTCGCCGTTATATCACGCTAATTTACCAATACTAATATAGCCAGCACTTATTATAATGCATTTTTATTTTCAAGTGTTTCGAAATGTTTCTCTGAAGTACGTTTTAGCATTTAATTACATTTACTTCCTCATTTTTCTTAAACTTGAGCGTATTATCACATGAATATATGTATTTTTGAATGTATTATTTGCTATTTAACATTTTATTTGACTGTATATATTTTTTATGTTATGTAAATTTAAACAATAGCATGACATTTTGCTAATGTGGTCTTCTATTGAATATTGATTATTCACTACTTCTTTCTTGAAGTATCAAAATAATTATTTTATAATCAATTGTAGCTCTATTGGTAATCTATAATTTATATTACGTGTACTATTTTTAGTACTGACATTTTTAGTACTGAGCAGATTATATGCAAAAATTATGTGAATGTATATTACATTCACATAACTTTGCATACATTTGCAAAATGTTTTACTTTTTTGTTAATTTTATATAACCAAATACTATTTTCTAAACAAAATTAATATTTTAAGACTATTTTTACGGAAGGCCACATTACTATCCATATTTTTCTTCGAGTTATTATGCAATGTTGCCACATTTTTATTAATAGTGTCTTAAGTAATAAAAATTTCGCATCTTTGAGTCCAAAATCAATTCAATTTTAATGAAATTGTCAAGTTTTAATTAATTATTAATGAAGTTATTGTATAAAATGTAATTGGGGTGTCATAATACTACCTTCTCCTCTAAGCTATAATACAATATGCATATATTAACATATCTAATATACGATGAAGAGAGCAAATTAATCAATATAAATTGAAAATAAATGCCTAATAATAAGAACTATAGAGAAAAAATAAATTACAAATTAAATTAATAATAAATAAATAATTAAAAAGTTTTAAGCAAGAAAGGGAAAATTTATTTTTATTTAGAAATATAAAATAATTCCTAATATAATCGTTTCTTTCAGTCCATTCTGGTTTTTCAAAAAGATTTCCCTGAAATCAGTTGTTTGAATAAATATCTTTTTATTTCGGGTTATATTTTTTTTGTAGATAATCATTATTTCGGAACATTGACGTACAAAGCAGATGGCACTTCGTATTTCCTTCGTCGTTCACGCCCCTTCCATTGCTGTAGCCGCGCCACACTGCCGACCATCGGAAATTCACAGTACAAAACCACCCCCAGAACTAACGGCAGTTCAGCGCGGTGCGCGGTGATACGCGGATGCTTTCTGTGATTCTATCATTTATTGTATCAACTTTATTTAAAGTGCAATTTACAACAAGAAATTATCTTTCTCTTTACGGATTACACTCTATAGTAGCATTTCGTACATTTTTGTACATTTGATCAACAAGAATTATTAAAATTTTCACTAACTTTACATTATTGTCCTTCACATCATCCGTTAATTGTGTTAGTGCATCTATTTGACCTACAATCGACAATTATTAATTGCAGCATTGTCAAATTTTGATTTTACATTACTGTAAGTTGATTGTATTTGATTTGCGAACAACGATAATTAATCATAGAATTTTTTACATGATTTAGAGAGTGTTCTTTACTATACTGTATCAATTTTGCTTTTAATGAAGATGACTTAATGTAAAAACAAATTTGAGATTATTAATTTTAATTTTATGAGAAATAATTTTACTAGCACAAACTTCCTGCGCTTGTTTCTCAATTTCTGCTGAGCCTTGTTAACCTGTTCTTATATTTTTTAAAGTATGCGCTAATATGTCGAACTAAAATCACAATATAATTATACCAAATTATCATTATTTTAAAAGCTCTTTTAGAAAACTACATTAACATTATTCGACGCTTTTGCGTTATTCTATTTTTATTAGACGTGTTTATAATAATCAATCTATTCGAGCGAACGATTTACTGAAATAAACTTATCACCACATTTCCAGACGAAGTGAATGGTATGATTTGCACGAACATCAGTCCGCAAGTTTAACTCTATGCGGCGGTAAATAAATGTTGCAAAATTTACGTTTTAAATTGTATAGTGATATCTTTTGTCCTTATATGCAGTTGAATCAATCAAATTAATATTATGACAATATGACATAACAATTATACGAATCGATAAGAATAAATCTAATTAAATATGAAAACTCGGAGTCAAAGCGGATCTTTAGTGCTTAAATATTTCTGTGTAAATTTATACAAGTACATATCTGATTCTGTAAACTGCGTGCTGAAATCTTTTTCAATCTTAAAATGTGTTATGAGCAGAATCACAATAGTAATATTAAATTGACAAGTAATTTAATAATTTGTTAATGCTAATAAGCATCTTTATAAGAATATTAATATGTTAATGATCCGAGGTTCAAATTCGTATTCATATTCGTAATATATCGTTCATTACTACGTCTCCAATTTCTCCATGAAATATGACGTTTGTTTACTAAATATTGGTTATTACGATAAATATTAGCGAAGCTTCGATGGTCGAATTAGTATGATGTCTGTCCAGAAAGTCAAGAGTTTCATGTTTTAAACCTGCTGAGACAATATTTTTTGTAATAAAATTATTCGTAGATTTAGATTCTCATTAACATATTACTATTAATATTCTTATAAAAATGTTTATTATTTAAATAATTATTAAATTGCTTGTTAATTAATTTAATAAGTAACATTACTACTCTTGTTTCATTCGTAAATGCGTTTTAAAATCGAGAAAAAAGATTTCAGCGCAGTTTACATCAGAATCAGATATATATAAATTTTCACAGAAATATTTAAGCACTCAGATCCGTTTCAATCGAATATAGGAATTTTCTTATTTAATTAGTATCATAATTATTATCGTAAAATTATTACTTTATTTGCATTTTTTAATAATTTGAATAAAAAACAAAACTCACAATAAATAAAATATTATGTTAAAGTATCTCGTACAAAGAGTACAGCCGGCATTTAAAATTTATCATTCGAGAAATTAGTTAATTCTTGAAATTTCTCAAAATTTGAAGAAAGATTTGAAATGGAGGATGATGCTGTAAAAAAATGTATCAGTGAATCGTCAATTATAAATCCTGTTGTTAATGAATGTTTACAATTGACGATTTGTTAGTGCATCGTTTAATAGCTAGAATAAACTTTGCTGAAAGAAAGGATATTTTCGCTTCTATTTTCGATCCATTTTATTATCACTATAATGTATATGCTACGCAGAGATCTTATTTCATCCTATTCGGCTTAACAAGTTTATCGTGATGCAATTACAAAGAGGTCGCACATGTTAATTTAATCACAGATCGCAGATCGACCTTGATTAGAATATGAACCTGGAAGTGGCAAACACGACCGATGCGCTTAACTGCAGTACGCAGTTTACTTCATTCGAGGGCGATGTAGAGACCTGCAGAAACTATTACCACGGATTTGAATACGAATTCGTGCATAGAATTCTAGTGGTGGTAGTACCATTATTCTTCGGGATAATTGGAATTCTCGGTCTAGTCGGGAATTTGCTAGTGGTCGTGGTGGTGGCGGCAAATCCTGGAATGAGGTCGACCACGAACATCCTAATCATTAACCTCGCCGTAGCTGATCTGTTATTCGTTATGTTTTGTATACCGTTCACGGCTACCGACTTCGTGCTACCATACTGGCCGTTTGGCAACATCTGGTGCAAGATCGTTCAGTATATGATTATTGTCACGGCTTATGCTAGCGTTTACACCCTGATACTGATGAGTCTCGACAGGTTAGTATGTCAAGATCATTTTTTGCAGTATTGAGCTCTGATAGAACATACTTCCAAAATTAAATTTTATTGTAAATAATGTATTTTACTAATGGACTATTATTTATAATATTGTAAAACATATTTTGGAGAATTAAATCGCAAGTAAAATTCAAATGAGGCACTTAGATACATTTGTGTGCAGACAATGACTGTCAATAAGAATAAATGTACCGAGTGTTCTAAAATTCATAATTCAAGACATTATGACAAAAAATTAATAATAAGAATGTATAAAGTGTCGGCTCAAAGAATCAATCTAATAAGGAAATAATTAGAATGCCATAATAAATCCTATGTGATTAATAATGCGCAATGTCAACTTATTAAGAGAGTACACAATGATCGATTTACCAATTAACCACTGTTTACAATCGATCTTTGGAACTCATATTGATATCTTTATCAGAAAGGAAGAATTACTAGATCGACTAATAAAATGGCCTATAATTTTATCGTCATATAACTATAATAATTGTTTTATATTGTGAGTACCAGATAATCTTAAATAACTTTATTAGTGACTTCTTCACTTAAAAACTTGTAATATTAACAATTGCACGGAGAAGGATCAAAATTTTGAAACATTTGAATATTATATTGTAATTTAATTAATGATGAATATACAATATGTCATTTTAACAAATTGATATGTATTCGTTGACATTACGCATCAATATCCGTGTAGATCTATTATAGCGTTTTAATTATAACAAAAAATTTTTGAGAAATTGAGTAAAAAATTTATTTGTAAATTTGTATTTTACGCAATATATATATAATTTCTAAGATAAAGGCTTCCAAAAATTGTTGTTTGAAGGTTCTTTAAGAAATGAATAGAAAAATAATTCTTTTATTTATTTCTCAAGCTCCAAATGGGGAAAAAATGTCGTTTACATCACTTGTTAAATTCAATGGTTAAATTCTACAATGAGATAATACCTCACCATTAATAAAATTAATGTTTCCAAAATATTTATTTTCATAAGAATTAGCTATAAACCTTCATCATAAAAAATAGAAATAAAATAAGAAAAAAATCATTTTAAAAAATCAAAAAGAGGAAAAGAAGATCAAAAGGATAAAATAAAATATCACTTAGTTTGCCTTGAACACACGATAACGACCAATCGTATATATAACAGATGTTCTAAAATTCATAATTCAAGATATTATAACAAAAAATTAATAATAAGAATGTAAATAAAGTGTCGGCTTTTTCAAAATCCTAGATACCTGGATCTTCCCTCATTAATTATAAGTAATTACTTCCCTGCAATCAAAGAATCCATCTTCCACCTTGCACCGTTCATGTGTGATCTTTGCTGCTTGATAAGAATAATCCCATGCGCTTACATCTGATGACAACCCAGACAGATACGCACTCATTTGGCGATATTAAGTAACCTCTCAACTATTATGAAAATATTATGAAAATATTAAAATGATACAAGATTTTTCGACAGTTTAGTCGGCTCTACTTGCAAACAAGTGATTTATCGATAATTAATGGATATTTTGCATGTAAGGTGTATTCTAATTATTGATAAAGCGCTCATGTACAGATAGAACGGACTAAACTGAATAAAAGATCCATTTTCTCAATAGTTAATGAAACATTAATTATTATAAAGATCGCGTCCATTCGGTCTTGCTACACGTTGGTAAGCGCGGGAAGTTGTTCATTACAAGTGGCATTAGGCTTGTTCTTTAGCTGAACTTCTTGCACAGTTTATCTTCTCTTTTTTTCTTTCTAACGTGAAGAAAAAAGGAGAAAAGATGAATTGTGCAAGAACTTTAGCTAAAAAAAACCAGACCTATTGACAACGGACAAGCGCGCGCAGTAAAAGAAAACACCCGCTCTGGGCGGATCCTATCTCGTACATGTTGGCATTTCGTGATCATTCGGCAATCTTTAGAAATTTTCCATTAATGAATAATGTAAAATGCACGTTGAAAAATGATACCAGATTCATAATTAATTAACGATACATTATCTAAACGGGAACAAATAAAAGGAAAGTATTTCATTAAGAAATACTTTGAAATTCTAAGATTAAATCCATAGCTATTTCCTATATAAATTACGATCTCATGTCTTGCTCGTCGAGTTAAAAATTCACATGCAAGCAGTTAATCGATCTTTCTTGATCAATTTTCTGCATCTCCTATTTTAAGTCAAAACAACACAAAATTATGTGATAAAGGGATCTTTTAATTCCCTTTTCTTAACTTTTTTTCTCAAGGCGAATACGAAGGAAGAAGCAGGAATTACTTTTAAATTAATTGATATTTAAATACTAGTACTCGGAACATGAATCAACTTGAATATAGTTTAAAAATAGAACATTAGGGGTTATGTGCGTTTAAATTAATTTGCAAACTGATTCTCAGTATAACTTTATGCTAGAATGCTTAAAAAAAAACGAAGTGATAGAAGACATTTTTTATTCGTGCATCTTTAAGTTATCATCTTTTAAAAAACTTTGCTAAAATGAAAGTTTAGTTTCCATTGTTAATTATTCAAGCTAATTATAATACTCTATCGGAAATAAGTCACGTTAGGGAATTGCTTGCAGATATCTAGCAGTCGTGCATCCAATCGCCTCTATGTCATGGAGAACGGAGATTCATGCCATACATGCGATCTGTATTCTGTGGGTAATGATTTTAACGTTGTCCATCCCTGCCTTCGTGATCCATGGCGAGGTAAGCATGCCGTGAACTGCATCCCAACCGCAACGTTTCAAATTCAGATGTTGTCCTATAATGCATCGTGTATTTGTAGATTCATTACATTTTTCAAGGACAAAATTTGACAGCCTGCCGAATTCTGGATCAATATGACTGGACTTCTTACCAGGTGCCCTTCTTCCTATCAAGCTACGTGATGCCCTTGGTGTTGATATGCGTTTTCTACATGTTCATGTTGGCCAGGTTATGGCGAGGTGTGCGCACCAGTGCCGAGAACCGACGCGGAAGAAGACGGGTTACCAGACTCGTCGTCATCGTCGTTGTTGTCTTCGCTTTTTGCTGGTGCCCTATACAGGTAAAGAGATCTGTCTGGAACAGATGATTTTTCTTCTTTTTTGTTACCCTATTATCCATAATATCACATCCGCAACATCACGTTGCAGATGATACTGGTGCTTAAGTCCCTGGACATGTATCCGCTTACTACGGCGACGATAATGGTGCAGATAGTCAGTCATATTCTAGCTTACACCAACAGCTGTATTAATCCCTTCTTGTACGCCTTCTTGAGCGATCACTTCCGAAAAGCCTTCCGTAAGATTATCTATTGTAGGCCAACGACAAACTCGGACAATCAGATGGGACCAGCAACGAGAACCACGAGAGCTGCTAGTGCTGGCGATATTCTTTAGGTGAAAATTAACCTTATTTATACAATTCAAATCATTTCAGCAAAAATGTTGCTGCAAGCTTCTGTGCTTTAAGGATCCTCATTGATAATATAAACTTCTACAGAATATATCAATCTGTTCTTTTTGGATACTAATTGCTTGGTATCAATAAATCATAAATCACGGCTGTCACAAATATTGCTTCTTGCGCAACGGATTTCATTTTTATTTTCTTTTACCTTAAACTTTAGCATTTAAAACATATCAGCCTGCTGTTCAAAGAAGAAAGTTTAAAAATATTTTCCTATTATCCATCTTAATAAGAAATGTCATTTAGAAAATATTTCTTGCCTTTTAATGTTACCTTATGTTTACTTTTTACTTTTGGAGAGTTGAAAATTAATAAAAATCCAACAATTTAAGCGAGTAATAAAGAAAAACCAGATTTAATGCAACAGTTCATATTATACCAATATCATCAATAGAAAATAGATTTCGAGAATTAATTGAATACATCCTGATAATGAAAATTAAGATTTTAGTTAAGATTTAGATTTAAATCCTTAAATACAATGGCGTCGTCATCTCCGTTTTTTTCTTTCCCGAAGCAATATAAACTTCTTTGGCAGATGACAAATCGTGCCGACATACTTAACGACGTTACTTAATTTACTTACCAGCTATGGGTGCGGCACAGCTTGGCATGGCTATGCGAGCATATAAGAAAATTTTCCCCTAAAAACTCTTCACTGCTTTTCTATCTCTCTTCCTCTATCTCTGAACTCAGCGTAGTATATTGCCATTAACATGGTAACATTTCTACAGCCAGTTTACTCTTCGTTGCCGTTTTCATCTGTTCCATCTACATCGCGGACATCGGGAGAGAGAAACATGATGAGGAGTGAACGGGTGAATACAGCAAGAAATATAATCCTGTATCACAAGACATTGCCATTAATGGTAAGTAAAAGTGCTGATATAGAATGGAATGGAATGTTTTCATTTAACCTTTAAAGCACACGCACACATGTTATATGTTACAATATATGTCTTGAAAATAACAAAAAATATTCCTTTTACTAAAATTTCTTTACAATATGCGTAATATTATTCTAATCGCTAATTGTTTTGAATGATTTCGAAGCTAAAAATTAAAAAATTCGAACGATTGACTCAATACGACGATTCAAAGTTCAACAAATTTTTATTCTGTGCATTACATAAAATGCACTACATATTTATAATATACAAATTTCGCCAGTATATAATACTTTAAAACTTGATTTTTAGAATCATTAATTTTAAATTCGAAAACAAAATTTACAAATTTTCGGAATACGGAGTGATGAACTAAAATCCTAAAAAGTTTTCAGATTTATACAGGAAAGAGTGATATTAACACCAATAAAAATAAAAAGATTATAATACAGCCTTACACCCAGAGATATGTTCCAATATGTTCAAAATTGATAAAACGGATTTGTCAAAGATTCAGAAATAATATACATAATGCATACAGTATGCAATGATTGTAGTTATAGTAATGCTATTACTTCTACGTTATTTTTTATAATATATAACGATTTAATAATTGCAATTTTTTATAACTATATCGATAATTCCAAGCGCTAAAATTGTGCTAAGGCTGGAAAAGTCACTTTAAAAAATAACTTGTCACCATTATGCGTTACTTACTGGAAAAAGTAACACGTTACTTGTAATCCCTGAGACTATACGTATATATAAGATCTATTCTTATTGATTAGAATGTGTTTAAATTCTTCCTCATAGTCATTTTTTTTCATAATCGTCATCTGTTAACTTATCTTTAGAAATTTCGATATCACAACTGAAATGATTGAGTTTCATTCCAAACGAAAAGCTTTAACGAAATCACTAGCATTCCAAGAAAATAATTGCAACTATTATCACTAATAGTCGCAACTATTTTCTTGGAATCTAACAATAAGTCAAATTTTAAATGAATTTTCTGTAACAGATGAGCTATTTTATCGAAATTATGTACCTCGAAATCTTTAACATGCTAAAATCATCGATCTTTGTTTCAATGAATCATTATCGTTCTAATGAGCCGTTACCAAAGAAACTTCTTTTTCGTGACAACCATACATTAGCTATTGTACCAAACGTATATAACTTTTATTTAGAATTTCTTTTATATTAACTTTTCATGGTCATCATGGATCATCAAAATGATCCGAGCATTATCTTTGACGATGGATTTCAAAATTTCCTTCCTTCCTTCCTAAAAGTTAGTGTTCCTATATTATAGCGTACCTGCTATTGGAAATTTGAAGCTGAACTGAGAGAGATGCTTAGCTTTTTAATCGGATCATGTTAGTATATGTCTAACAGCCATTCGTACAAAAAATTTTTTTCCCGGGTCAAAGGTCAGCAAGTGTAATCAACTCGTCGTTTTCGTTAAAAAAATTTATAATTCATATTTTTGCATTAAATTGCAAAAATAAGCAAGATATAGATTATGTCCTTCAAGTAAGGAGTAAAAAAATGATAAGGGAATGTTCGTCGTGCTCATGTGTGATAAATAAACTCTATATATGTGTATTGAGATTGCGATGGCGAAGTGTAATGTTTTCTACATATTTTTTGTATTTTGCGTTTTTCATATATATATATACTTGTCTTCAGTATTAGTAATAATAATGATTTTTACAATTAATAATGGTAATACTCCAGATTAGATTAAGCGGACCCCTCCCCCGCCCCCCTCTCTAATGCGCTCCTAAGGGGAAGGAGAAAGATGGAGTGGGAGTCGCTTCGTGTGGAAGTCGTTTCCTAAACAGGGGGGAGGGGAGGAGGTGAGGTAAAAGTCGCTTCGCATAGACAGTCGTAAAATATATTTTAAAGTAAGAAATTTTTGTTTTACATAGTGACAATATATATCAAAGTCAAGGTCATTGAAAAGGAGTCCTCTAATCTGGAGTATTACCTTAATAATAACTTAAATTAATAATAAAATAGTCTTTTATCCAAATTTAACATCTTTTTTACACTTAAAAACGACTATCTTCCATCTATCAATATCATTTATTTTTAAAATAAAATTTAATTATCCGATAACGAAATTTATTCAAGTGTTATTTAATTTATAACAATTTAATTTTTTAATTCAAAATTATTGTGTTTATTCCTACTTATATCTATACTTATCGTTCTACCTACTCATAATTTCATTTATTCGTGTCTATTCGCCTATCTTCAATTGTATATTCCTACCTAAATTACTTCATAAATGTATAATAATACAGCTAATATAATACGTTAATGGCTGCCAATGTGGCATTCCAAGAATGGATCTAGACACGGAGAAAATCCGCGGAACTCAATCTAATCTTTATATCTTTATAAAAAGCACTCGTGGAATATTAGCAAGAATCAATCTTATTAAAAAATTTTACAACAATTGCAAAGCTGCTTTCTCTACTGAACGCAGTTCTCTAATGCCTAACCATGTCCTATCGCGTACTGTTAAATTTAACGGGATAAATCGCGATCATACTGAATAAGCAATAAATAATAATAAAAATAATAATATAAAAAAATTTCAATTTAATTTGAACGATTTTCAACTGAAAAATTCATTTTTAGCAAAAATTTCAGAGAAATTTCATTAAAATTTCAGAGAAATTTCAGTTCAATTTCAGCAATTTTTTTAGTATGATTAGTTGAAACATTCATTTTCATAGCAAAGTTTCAGCAATTTCGCTAAAATGTTTCAAAATGTGGAATAATTTCAGCAAAATTTTTTCACCAGGGATTACATAATTTAAAGTTACATTGTCGATCAGAAGTTGATTGATTCCAGCCTTTATTGAGAGATCTAATAATCCCGGATGCTCGCAGTTCGCATAAAGATACAATGTGATCTCGTGCTAATTGCACTTGGTGCGAGATCTGTCTTTTGATATCGAGCTAAAGTTTATCATGACTATACAGTCTATCCTTTGCAAATGGACAAGTAGAGAGTCAACGCTGTTGTAGTAAATATTCTACCCAAAGTTGGGTATAAGTAGCCTCATGAAATGGTCGATCAGCACATCTCTTTATATTTATTAAAGAATTATCAACTCTACGTATTTACCAAGGAAATATTAAATAGATTCCATTTAAGTCTTTAACTGAGGTACAAATACGTAACAAGAATACGTAACATATTATAAGATATTTGAACTCTTGCAGGACGGAGCAGTTCAAGTCGAAGAAAGACATTATACGAGAAGAAGCTCAAGCACAGATCATAAAAGTTCGAGACGAAAATCGGAAAAACTTTAATAAACTTTGACGAGAAGCCATCAATATCGAATCGGAGATTTAATCGCTGTAGAGCAAATGCAACTCGGATCAGGACTTACATTTAAATCAAAATATCTAGAATCTTGTAGAATAATCAAAATCAAATCAAATAACACTTATGACATGATACAAGAAAAAGTTTAGAAAGATCTTAGAGCTAGCACTATTTGTGTCAAATATCTCAAGCGTTAAATGGATTTCAAGCTATCATCTGAGTCAGATAATTCGCAGGAAGGCCGAGCGTGGGAAATCAAATTTGATTTCGAATTAAACGCGAATAAGGAACGCAAAAAAATAAGATAGAACGCAGCTAATAACAATATGAAAGCAGAGAAAGAAGGTGGTTTTCTAGAGGTTGGCGCTAATAGAATGACAGACTAGAGAAAGTTAGAGTTGAACCAAGAGAGAAAAATTCAGATTCATTAAGATGTTCGAAGAAATTGAGATGTTCAGATTGAGAAACAAGAGAGGTGTTTTTTTAATTAACATTACACTATACTTACCTGTATTAAGTTTAAATATAATTTTTATTTATAATTTATATTTAAAAGAAGCAATAGTGTGTCTTTCTTCATCCAGAACTATCCCCCAGCATTTCCCAAACATATATATCTCTCAGATCTGCCAAAGTGCTGCTCGATTTTAATTATATATCCCTTATTCACAGAACTTCTTGATCTTTTTGGCAAATGTATGTTCGAAAGAATCTTCCGTCAATCGTATTTCCCAAAAGCGAGGGATTTCTCGCGCTTGCAAGAAAACATACTGAAATTTTAACGAGCTTTAACGGTATCTGTGTTATATACTTAAGGGATATTGATTAGTGGTGAATGCTCTTTGTCATGCTTTTCGCATGTGCGTTAATTATTTACATACTGATTATCTCGCGCTCGACTCTTGACCTTTCGTTTACAATTCATAAATCGTTTATGCTCACACGAATATATCTCGATTAATTATGGAAAGGGGAAGAGATAATCCAAGCAAGTAATCGACGCGGCCACCGCGCTTGTACGAATCGATATGTACCGTACTTTAATTATTATCCAAGAGTCGATATTTCCGTTTCCCCGACTGAGTGAATGAGTGAATGGGAGAAAGTGAGAGAGAGAGAGAGAGAGAGAGAGAGAGAGAGAGAGAGAGAGAATGAAAGCGCGTACATTCTAGAAATAATTAAATAAACGTATCCGCCACGATTCATTTTGCTCTGAATAGCAGCGAGATTAACAAACGTGAAATTTTTAGTTGCAATTTTAAAAACTCTGCGAACTCAACAAAAATAACTCCCGTGAAGCTAGTTTCATTATTTAAAAAATTAATTTTTTTTTAAAGTTTTATAGATTTCTAATATAGTTTCCAAGTTCTTGATAGGTTTAAGAAATAGTTTTTACCATTGATAGCATGACAATGCGATTCAAAGATAAAAGGGGTTAACTTCACGCAGCCCTATTCTCAATATGAGCATTTTTTAAATAGAGTTTTGGATAAATTTCATACTAGATTCTTGTCCGAAAAGTTCGTGCCGATGTTGAAGGAAAGTTGAAACGCAGAAAATTTTAATTTAATAAATGTATACTAAAATTTAAATTTTAGTCGACATGAACTTTCCGGACAACCCAATACATTTTAGAAACAGTTCCATTCAAGAAAATAAAAGAAATGGGATTTAATACTTAAAAAATAGTCGCAACTTGAAAAATAATAATTTAATGTAATTTTCTCATTAAGATTTTTTATGGAACTACTCTGCGAAGTCTATAATTATCATTAGAACTCACAGAAATGTCCAAAATTTTTTGAATGTTACAACCAAATCGACACTTACAGCCGTCTGTTTTGACATAAATTCTATAAATTTTGTTAATAAAAATTTTGATAGAACTTCGAAGGAGATATCTAGAATTTTTAATAGAATTGTTAGAATTTTCAAAAGAAATTTTGTACTTTAAAGCTAATTAATAATATAATTGTAAGCGCCCGTATCTTTCTCGATTTTAATTCGACAGATTTGATAAAAAAATCCTAATCTTAAAAATTTATAGATTTGAAATAAAAAAGTGACGGATTGTAGGTATAAACTTGGTAATTGTAAAATTAAAGAAAAGTTATTAAAGAGGGAATTCTATTGAAAATTCTGAATAGCCTCCGCAGAGTTCGATCAAAAATCCTAATGACAAAAGTCTGTAGAATTAAATGGAAATGTTACAAGCTATAGGTGTGAACTGTAATTGGTAATTGTAAAATTAAAAAGGTTTTATGAATGAAAAGAGAGTTCTATGAATTCTGTTAAAAGTTCTGACCCTCACAAAGTTCTATAAAAAAATCTTAATGTGAAAATTGTATTCAATTATTTTTCAAATTGCTATTATTTTTTTGTTGCCAGTTTATTGGGTATTTATTTCCGTTTTTTTTTTTTAATTTTTCGCACGAGATTATTTTTTAAATATATCAAGAATTATATGAAATTTATCCAAAACTATAATAGAAAATGATTTATTATTTTGAAAATCGAAGGGCTACGTAAAGTTAGTCTCCAATGTTTTTACTTTCATTTTTAGGTCTTCAATGACTAAAACTATTTATTTTCTAAATTATCAAGAACTCTGAAAAAATTAATTTTTTAAATAATAGAGGTCTGACATCACAAGAGTACAAAAACTCCGTTGCTGTCGGAAGCGAAGAGAAATACGCACATTTCTTTCCGAATGCTGTGCTTTATCTCTTTTGTTTCTCATCGTCTCATTGCCTTTTGTCTTATTCACTTCTTATGCCGAGCTATCATTAAAGTTGTACTACGCTACCAGTGTACATTTAAGCGTTATTCGTCAATTCACAACTCTCTGTAAGAATCGGTTATGTTATATTCATGTTCCATTTACGTTCCAATCAAATGTTCATCAATTATGCGTTTTACATTGTTATTATATAGTTCTATATATTTTGTAAGTTTAAACGTATAATTATTCGTCAAGCAAAATCGCATATAATGACGTTGAATTCGAACTCCTGATGCACTTATCTTATATATGCTTGCATTTTCCTTTCGCGCAAATTTTCCCTTCTTCTTTTCTTGATACGAAAGAAATAATAAGAGAATATTAGAGATTATTAATTTAAAGCATTAAACACGGTAATCGATATTAATTAAACAATATTCTAAATTATATGTATTGCTTAATTAACACATTAATATCATAATAGATAACTTAGTTTGTATAAAGACAAATTTATTAAATAGTCTCTCTCTCTCTTTTAATTATTAATACATCAAATTGAAAGCACGGCAATGTACTCCATCCACAGCTTAACAATATGAATCTCAAATGAATAAACTGCATGTGATTCACAAAAATGTACAATTAAGCAAAAAATACGGATTGTAATATTAAACTATTAAATACACACAAAAATGGTGAGCTCACCACACGATTACAAGATATTCAATCGGGCAGAGATGAATCAGACAGAAACAAATGAGTTTAAGAAACATAAACAAAACGAACCGATATTCAACTTGAGTTTTCACAAACTAAATACTGAAAAGACATTCTCAAAACTAGCACATAATTATTACAATCTAACAGATATAAATAAGAATACAAATGGAAGATAAGCTGCCGGCACAATTTATCAAAATTGTGCATAAATATTACAACATTATTTTCATGTAACGTCTTAAATGATTACGATTATACAAGTAGGCTTCGCCTCCCTGAGAGCTTTTAAGCAAATATATTCAGAGAGCTTGCGGAAGCATTAACGGTGATTAGTGGCCCATATTCAGCGTGTCCTCTCCGATCCATAAAGGAAACACTGCTCCTCAAGAAGCTATTGTATTTTGTGACGATATAATGGCATATCTTTTCATATTCAATCTTATTTATCAGAAAAACTCTCAATCATTTTCCTAAAATGATATTTTAAGGCGGACAAAGAAAAAAAAAGGAATCAATTTTTTACCAACAAAGGAATAGATTATTTAAGTCGATAATATTCGAAACGCACAACAAACGCATGTTTTCATTTCTGTTTAATGCATATTTATGAAATACATTAAAAACTACAGTGAAAATACAAAATTAAAACTGACATAATAATTAAAAGCAGCAAAAATGTGGACATCATTTTACATCACAAAGTACGTGATTGATGTAAGACAGATTTTCTATCGCGTTTTGTAAACTAATTTCATCTAACTAAATACAAAATTTAAATTAGAGGAAAAATTAAGAAAATTAGTTTTTTTCTATTTACCGAAGAAGATAAACTTTTAGTTTTAAAAGAAATTGTTTAAAGTTTAACTGAAAAATGTTGTGATAAATTCAATCATAAGATTTAAAAAATTATTTACGTAGAAAGATCAGAAAGTTCTTGGACTATAATGTTATTCGACAAAATTTTACTTTTTTTTCGTAACACGAATGTGAGTAATGTGATTTCCATCGTACACTGTTGTTTGCTGAACAAGAATCCGTTGTCAAAATTTGATTATGACGTCACAATTATGAAAAAAAGACAATGATTTTGAATATGTCATTTTTTACCTGTTTGATATTTTTTTTCAAATCATAAAATAATAAAAATATATGTCTCAGTTCAAAAAAAAAGTTCACACCTGAAAAGGCTAACAGTAAAAAGAAAATTAAATTTCCTTTTTCTATGTTGATCATAATAATTTTTAACAGAAACGATCATTTTTCTATATATTTTTTTATTTACGAACAATTTAATTTTAACTACCTTTTTACATTTTTTACATTTTTTTTACATTTTTACATTTTGAAACATACAAGTGCTGCACAACTTTAGACTTCATAGTATTTATTGATAACGGATGTAATATCAAAATATTATATAATATCAACAATATTATATAATATCATCAACATATCAAGAATGATCTAATATTATTATCAAGTAAAATGTTTTTATCAACA